GCGCGCAATGCAAGGCAGCGCGCAATGCAAGGCAGCGCGCAGTGCAAGGCAGCGCGCAATGCAAGGCAGCGCGCAGTGCAAGGCAGCGCGCAGTGCAAGGCAGCGCGCAGTGCAAGGCAGCGCGCAATGCAAGGCAGCGCGCAGTGCAAGGCAGCGCGCAGTGCAAGGCAGCGCGCAATGCAAGGCAGCGCGCAGTGCAAGGCAGCGCGCAATGCAAGGCAGTGCGCAATGCAAGGCAGCGCGCAATGCAAGGCAGCGCGCAATGCAAGGCAGCGCGCAATGCAAGGCCAGCGCGCCAATGCAAGGCAGCGGCAATGCAAGGCAGCGGCAATGCAAGGCAGCGCGCAATGCAAGGGGGCAGCGGCGCAGTGCAAGGCAGCGCGCAGTGCAAGGCAGCGCGCAATGCAAGGCAGCGCGCAATGCAAGGCAGCGCGCAATGCAAGCAGCGCGCAATGCAAGGCAGCGCGCAATGCAAGGCAGCGGGCAATGCAAGGCAGCGTGCAATGCAAGGCAGCGCGCAATGCAAGGCAGCGCGCAATGCAAGGCAGCGGGCAATGCAAGGCAGCGCGCAATGCAAGGCAGCGCGCAGTGCAAGGCAGCGTGCAATGCAAGGCAGCGCGCAATGCAAGGCAGCGCGCAATGCAAGGCAGCGTGCAATGCAAGGCAGCGCGCAATGCAAGGCAGCGCGCAATGCAAGGCAGCGGGCAATGCAAGGCAGCGCGCAATGCAAGGCAGCGCGCAGTGCAAGGCAGCGCGCAGTGCAAGGCAGCGCGCAGTGCAAGGCAGCGCGCAATGCAAGGCAGCGCGCAGTGCAAGGCAGCGCGCAATGCAAGGCAGCGCGCAGTGCAAGGCAGCGCGCAATGCAAGGCAGCGCGCAATGCAAGGCAGCGCGCAATGCAAGGCAGCGCGCAATGCAAGGCAGCGGGCAATGCAAGGCAGCGTGCAATGCAAGGCAGCGCGCAATGCAAGGCAGCGCGCAATGCAAGGCAGCGGGCAATGCAAGGCAGCGGGCAATGCAAGGCAGCGCGCAATGCAAGGCAGCGCGCATGCAAGGCAGCGCGCAGTGCAAGGCAGCGCGCAGTGCAAGGCAGCGCGCAGTGCAAGGCAGCGCGCAATGCAAGGCAGCGCGCAGTGCAAGGCAGCGCGCAGTGCAAGGCAGCGCGCAATGCAAGGCAGCGCGCAATGCAAGGCAGCGCGCAATGCAAGGCAGCGCGCAATGCAAGGCAGCGCCATGCAAGGCAGCGCGCAGTGCAAGGCAGCGCGCAATGCAAGGCAGCGCGCAGTGCAAGGCAGCGCGCAGTGCAAGGCAGCGCGCAATGCAAGGCAGCGCACAATGCAAGGCAGCGCGCAATGCAAGGCAGCGCGCAATGCAAGGCAGCGGGCAATGCAAGGCAGCGCGCAGTGCAAGGCAGCGCGCAGTGCAAGGCAGCGCGCAATGCAAGGCAGCGCGCAGTGCAAGGCAGCGCGCAATGCAAGGCAGTGCGCAATGCAAGGCAGCGGGCAATGCAGGGCAGCGCGCAATGCAAGGCAGCGGGCAATGCAAGGCAGCACGCAATGCAAGGCAGCGCGCAATGCAACGCAGCGCGCAATGCAAGGCAGCGCGCAATGCAAGGCAGCGCGCAATGCAAGGCAGCGGGCAATGCAAGGCAGCGCGCAATGCAAGGCAGCGCGCAGTGCAAGGCAGCGCGCAGTGCAAGGCAGCGCGCAATGCAAGGCAGCGCGCAGTGCAAGGCAGCGCGCAGTGCAAGGCAGCGCGCAGTGCAAGGCAGCGCGCAATGCAAGGCAGCGCGCAATGCAAGGCAGCGCGCAATGCAAGGCAGCGGCAATGCAAGGCAGCGCGCAATGCAAGGCAGCGCGCAATGCAAGGCAGCGCGCAATGCAAGGCAGCGCGCAATGCAAGGCAGCGCGCAATGCAAGGCAGCGCGCAATGCAAGGCAGCGCGCAATGCAAGGCAGCGCGCAGTGCAAGGCAGCGCGCAATGCAAGGCAGCGCGCAGTGCAAGGCAGCGCGCAATGCAAGGCAGCGCGCAATGCAAGGCAGGCGGCAATGCAAGGCAGCGGCGCCAATGCAAGGCAGCGCGCAATGCAAGCAGCGGGCAATGCAAGGCAGCACGCAATGCAGGCAGGCGCAATGCAAAGGCAGCGCGCAATGCAAGGCAGCGCGCAATGCAAGGCAGCGGCAATGCAAGGCAGCGCGCAGTGCAAGGCAGCGCGCAGTGCAAGGCAGCGCGCAGTGCAAGGCAGCGCGCAGTGGAAGGGCAGCGCGCAATGCAAGCACGCGCAGTGCAAGGCAGCGGCGCAGTGCAAGGCAGCGCGCAATGCAAGGCAGCGCGCAGTGCAAGCAGCGCGCATGCAAGGCAGCGCGCAATGCAAGGCAGCGCGCATGCAAGGCAGCGCGCCAAATGCAAGGCAGCGGCGCAATGCAAGCAGCGGCAGCAGGCGCGCGCAATGCAAGGCAGGCGCAATGCAGGCAGGGCGGCAGGATGCAGGCAGCGCGCAATGCAAGGCAGCGCGCAATGCAAGGCAGCGCGCAATGCAAGGCAGCGCGCAGTGCAAGCAGCGCGCAATGCAAGGCAGCGCGGCAAGTGCAAGGCAGCGCGCAATGCAAGGCAGCGCGCAATGCAAGGCAGCGCGCATGCAAGGCAGCGCGCAATGCAAGGCAGCGCGCAATGCAAGGCAGCGCGCATGCAAGGCAGCGGCAATGCAAGGCAGGCGGCAATGCAAGGCAGGGGGCAAGCGCGCGCATGCAGGCAGCGCGCAGTGCAAGGCAGCGCGCATGCAAGGCAGCGCGCAGTGCAAGGCAGCGCGCAGTGCAAGGCAGCGCGCAATGCAAGGCAGCGCGCAGTGCAAGGCAGGCAATGCAGGCGCCAATGCAAGGCAGCGCGCAATGCAAGGCAGCGGCGCAATGCAAGGCAGCGCGCAATGCAAGGCAGCGGCGGCAAGCAGCGGCAGCGCGCAGTGCAAGGCAGCGCGCAATGCAAGGCAGCGCGGCAAGTGCAAGGCAGCGCGCAATGCAAGGCAGCGCGCAGTGCAAGGCAGCGCGCAGTGCAAGGCAGCGCGCAATGCAAGGCAGCGCGCAGTGCAAGGCAAGCGCGCAATGCAAGGCAGCGCGCAATGCAAGGCAGCGCGCAATGCAAGGCAGCGCGCAATGCAAGGCAGCGCGCAATGCAAGGCAGCGCGCAATGCAAGGCAGCGCGCAATGCAAGGCAGCGCGCAATGCAAGGCAGCGCGCAATGCAAGGCAGCGCGCAATGCAAGGCAGCGCGCAATGCAAGGCAGCGCGCAATGCAAGGCAGCGCGCAATGCAAGGGCAGCGCGCGCATGCAAGGCAGCGCGCATGCAAGGCAGCGCGCAGTGCAAGGCAGCGCGCAGTGCAAGGCAGCGCGCAGTGCAAGGCAGCGCGCAGTGCAAGGCAGCGCGCAGTGCAAGGCAGCGCGCAATGCAAGGCAGCGCGCAGTGCAAGGCAGCGCGCAATGCAAGGCAGTGCGCAATGCAAGGCAGCGGGCAATGCAAGGCAGCGCGCAATGCAAGGCAGCGGGCAATGCAAGGCAGCACGCAATGCAAGGCAGGGCGCAATGCAAGGCAGCGGGCAATGCAAGGCAGCGCGCAATGCAAGGCAGCGGGCAATGCAAGGCAGCACGCAATGCAAGGCAGCGCGCAATGCAAGGCAGCGCGCAATGCAAGGCAGCGCGCAATGCAAGGCAGCGCGCAATGCAAGGCAGCGGGCAATGCAAGGCAGCGCGCAATGCAAGGCAGCGCGCAGTGCAAGGCAACGCGCAGTGCAAGGCAGCGCGCAGTGCAAGGCGCATGCAAGGCAGCGCGCAATGCAAGGCAGCGCGCAGTGCAAGGCAGCGCGCAGTGCAAGGCAGCGCGCAATGCAAGGCAGCGCGCAATGCAAGGCAGCGCGCAATGCAAGGCAGCGCGTAATGCAAGGCAGCGCGCAATGCAAGGCAGCGGGCAATGCAAGGCAGCGCGCAATGCAAGGCAGCGTGCAGTGCAAGGCAGCGCGCAGTGCAAGGCAGCGCGCAGTGCAAGGCAGCGCGCAATGCAAGGCAGCGCGCAGTGCAAGGCAGCGCGCAGTGCAAGGCAGCGCGCAATGCAAGGCAGCGCGCAGTGCAAGGCAGCGCGCAATGCAAGGCAGTGCGCAATGCAAGGCAGCGGGCAATGCAAGGCAGCGCGCAATGCAAGGCAGCGGGCAATGCAAGGCAGCACGCAATGCAAGGCAGCGCGCAATGCAAGGCAGCGGGCAATGCAAGGCAGCGCGCAATGCAAGGCAGCGCGCAATGCAAGGCAGCGCGCAGTGCAAGGCAGCGCGCAGTGCAAGGCAGCGCGCAGTGCAAGGCAGCGCGCAATGCAAGGCAGCGCGCAGTGCAAGGCAGCGCGCAATGCAAGGCAGCGCGCAATGCAAGGCAGCGCGCAGTGCAAGGCAGCGCGCAATGCAAGGCAGGGCGCAATGCAAGGCAGCGGGCAATGCAAGGCAGCGCGCAGTGCAAGGCAGCGCGCAGTGCAAGGCAGCGCGCAATGCAAGGCAGCGCGCAATGCAAGGCAGTGCGCAATGCAAGGCAGCGGGCAATGCAAGGCAGCGGGCAATGCAAGGCAGCGCGCAATGCAAGGCAGCGGGCAATGCAAGGCAGCACGCAATGCAAGGCAGCGCGCAGTGCAAGGCAGCGCGCAGTGCAAGGCAGCGCGCAGTGCAGGGCAGCACGCAATGCAAGGCAGCGCGCAATGCAAGGCAGCACGCAATGCAAGGCAGTGCGCAATGCAAGGCAGCGGGCAATGCAAGGCAGCGGGCAATGCAAGGCAGCGCGCAATGCAAGGCAGCGGGCAATGCAAGGCAGCACGCAATGCAAGGCAGCGTGCAATGCAAGGCAGCGCGCAATGCAAGGCAGCGCGCAATGCAAGGCAGCGCGCAATGCAAGGCAGCGCGCAATGCAAGCAAGGCAGCGAGCAATGCAGCAAGCCAGCGCGCAATGCAAGCAAGGCAGAGCGCAATGCAGCCCACCAGAGGTACGGCAGCCGCAGCTCATTCCCTTCCGCGCCTAAATGCCTCCTGCTCCCGCCGCCGTTGCTGCTGCTGCTGCTTCTGCCGCCACTGTTAAGGGTGGTGAGGAAAGGTGACGAATCAGGTGTGGCGAGCAGCTTAAGCGATGACGGGAGGGCGGAGGAGAGGCCAGAGGAGGAGGAGAGGGAGGGGGGCGAGGGAGATGGAGAGGGAGCGGGAGATGGCGATGGAGGGGAAGGAGAGGGAGGAGAAGGAGAGGGAGGAGGAGGGGAGCTGGGTGGTTTGGGCGAGGGCGGTGTGAGGTCGGGGTCGAGATGCACGAGGCGAGAGACGGAGTAGACGAGGAGGAGTACCCCCACGAGCGCGAGGGCGAAGTTGAACAGCTTCAGCAGGCACTGCAGGAAGCCCCGGCACGCCATGCCGCTGCTCAGGTGGCGATGCTGCGGCTGCTGCTGGGGGTGGGGTTGCTGCTGCTGCTGCTGCTGCTGCTGGTGCTGGTGCTGGTGGTGCTGGTGGTGCTGGTGCTGGTCGGGTGTGGGGGCGGAGGGGGGGGGAGGGAGGTAGAGCGGGTCGTGCGACTAGAAGGCCCCCCTTAGGGTCGAGCTGGAGCACGGAACCGCGCACCTCGAACGAGGAGGATTCGAAACGAAGTGCCGAATCTGACGGCGCGGCGAGCCGACGCGCGGAACGAGCGAACGAGAATGGAAGCCGCGAATGTGGAGGACGAGTTAAGGCGTCTCGAATCCCGCGCGGAAATCTCCGAAAGCGAGTCCTGGCCGAGAGATGAAGCCAACTATAGAATCTCACACGCTACAGGCGTGTGAGCAAGAAATTCATTTTGTCGCCTAGAGATTCGATAAAAGAGTCGGAAACCCCACGAGGGAGGTCGAGATTTGGCGGGGTTACCACATCGATTCGCGAAACTGCTTGGAAGGGCTGAAGTGGGCATTGTGGCCTGGGGATTTTTAGGCGAAATCGTTGTGCCTTGTAAGCGAATCGTCTCTGTAACCAGTCTCTTTGTTAGGTCAAGCCGATTGGACTTGAAACCACATCTGTCCATCTTGCCACTGCTTCTTGGGACTACCTGTTCACCCTACTCCCCACCACCGCTAGTTCCGCTCTGCCGTGCTCCGGCTCGCCCTGACGTGCGCGCGCGCGACGACACGCGCTTGACGTCTGAAGCGTCTCGACTCCTCGCGCGCACCATCACACACTCCTTCCCAAACTCGCCTCTCCGCGCACTCGCCATGGCATCCCCTCTGCGCCTCTCACCCGCTCTGCTTCGGCCGTCTCCGCTGCCTGGGTAAGGCGCTCCGTTATTAACCCCTCGTTATCGTAAAAGCAACTTCGGTAGGATAAACATCAATACAAGGAGGCTCGATGCAAGCAACCTACGCCACCTCCTGCTGTGTCTCGAGTCACTCGAACTGACGATGTCCTCGTTATGGTGTACCTCGCTAAAACCGTCCATGTCTCCTCTGCCTCCCCCTTCCCCTGCGTCCCCCTCTCCCGGCCGCGCGCGCATCCATGGCGCCCAGGGAGGTCCACCTCTGGTGTCTCAAACCTCCCTCCCCCTCCTCCTCCCCCTCCTCCTCTCACTCCTCCCCCTCTGCTTCTCCATCCGCCTTCACCGATCCCTCCCTCCTCGCCTCCTATTGGTCCATGCTGAGTCAGCAGGAGAGGCTGCGAATCGCATCATCCCCGCCACATCAGCAGCGAGCAGACTCCACACTGCCGCCCCCCTGCCAGCTGGCAGATGCCTATTGGCTGAGCGGCGGTGACCCGTTCGTGTCTCTGCCGTGGCCGCTCTCCCCCGCGCAGCTGCAGCAGCTGCTCACCCGCGCCCTCGTGCGCGCCACCCTCGCCCGCTGTGAGCACGCACGTGCGCACAATCGCTCACGCACGCACACACACACACACACGGATGCACACATGTGTGCACGCACACGCGCACGCTCAAACACACACCGACACTCGCACGCATGCGCGCACACACTGATGCCCGCACTTGCACACACACACGCGCACGCGCATACGCACACATTCATGTGTCTCACTCACATTCATGTGTGTCTCTCACATTCATGTGTCTCACTCACATTCATTTGTCTCTCTCACATTCATGTGTCTATCTCACATTCATGTGTCTATCTCACATTCATGTGTCTCTCACATTCATGTGTCTCTCTCACATTCATGTGTCTATCTCACATTCATGTGTCTCTCTCACATTCATGTGTCTATCTCACATTCATGTGTCTCTCTCACATTCATGTGTCTATCTCACATTCATGTGTCTATCTCACATTCATGTGTCTATCTCACATTCATGTGTCTCTCTCACATTCATGTGTCTATCTCACATTCATGTGTCTCTCTCACATTCATGTGTCTATCTCACATTCATGTGTCTATCTCACATTCATGTGTCTATCTCACATTCATGTGTCTATCTCACATTCATGTGTCTCTTCCCGTCCGCCAGACATGGAGGGCCGCATTCACCCGGCCGACATTCCCTTCCGAACCAACCCGTGGGGCAAGCCGCAGGTGAGAGCAGCAACCCGTGGGGCAAGCCGCAGGTCAGAGCAGCAACCTGTGGGGCAAGCCGCAGGTGAGAGCAGCCAGCCACGGGCACATGATGGGATGACAACATGATGGGATGACAACATGATGGGATGACAACATGATGGGATGACAACAGGCCACGGGTGAGATTTGGTACACGGGTGAGATTTGGTACACGGGTACGATTGGCACTGGCGCTGGCACTGGCACTGGCACTGGCGCTGGCACTGGCGCTGGCACTGGCACACCTCATTGCTTTTGACGCCCTGTCGTTCCATTCTGTTGGACCCTGCTTATTCTGGCCATTCCCCCATCAGGTGTGCTGGGCCTCACTCCACAACCCATCAGCGCCCATCCCGCCAATCCATGCTTGGCAGCAGCAAGAGCACTATGACAACTGCCTTATCTCGCGAGTGTCGCACAGGCATGAGCCGGGCGGCAGAGCCAGGGATGGATGGGCTGGAGACGCCAACGGAACGAGCAGCAGCACCACAAGCATCAGCAGCCGCGGCAGCAGCAGCGGTGGCGGCACGGCTCTGCACTTCAACGTGACGCACACACACAGCCTGATCGCCCTGGCGGTCACCTCCGCCCTGCCGGTGGGCGTGGACGTCGAATCCTCCTCGCGCTGCCCCCGCCGCGGCGTGCTGCCCGTGGCGAGGAGGCGGTTTGCGGCAGAGGAGGCGGCGTGGGTGGGGGCTGGCAGGGACGAGAGGGAGAGGCAGCGGCGATTCGTTCACTTGTGGACGCTCAAGGTGAGAGGCAGAGACAAGGTCAGAGGCAGAGACAAGGTGAGAGGCAGAGACAAGGTCAGAGGCAGAGTGCATCTTTCCCTCTCTTCATCCCTCTCCCTCTCTTCATCCCTCTCCCTCTCTTCATCCCTCTCCCTCTCTTCATCCCTCTCCCTCTCTTCATCCCTCTCCCTCTCTTCATCCCTCTCCCTTTCTTCGTCCCTCTCCCCTCGTCATCTTTTCTCCCTCTCTTTCTCTCTCCCTTCCGCTCCGCAGGAGGCGTATGTGAAGGCCAGGGGGCTGGGAATGAACGCACTGCCCTTCCGCTCCTTCTCCTTCCACCTCTCGCCGTCGCACCAAGCCGCCCTCGCCTTGAAAGACTCCCTCGCTCATGTTGCTGACAAGGTCTGCCCTGCTCTCACACCTCTCGCACCTCTCGCACCTCTCACACCTCTCACACCTCTCGCACCTCCTGCACCTCCCCCACCTCTCACACCCCCCCACATCCTCACCACTACCTTTAGACCTGCGTTTCTTGAATGACTTTACTAGTCTTGATACACGTGCATGCATTTTGGCCCATGGACGCATGCACTTTGGCTGATGGACACTTGCATTTCGACCCATGGACGCATGCACTTTGGCCAATGGACACTTGCATTTTGACCCATGGACACATGCATTTTGACCCATGGACACATGACCCATGGGCACAAGCACATAGATGGAGGGGTACCAGATTGCATGCATGTGCTCTCATGCAAATGTTCTTCTTTCTCCCTCCCTCCCACACCCACCCCCTCTTCCTCCCCCCTCTCTCTCCCACAGCCCTGGTCCATTTGCCTTTCTCACAGCCCCTCCTCTCCCCCCACCCTCAATCAGCAAGCCTCCAGCTCCTCCCCTCTCACAAACTCGTCAGAAGCAACGTCTGCCAGCCCGCCTCCCTCGCCACTCACACCCTACCCATCCGCCCATGCCTCCACCCAAGATCCGCTCGACTGTGATGCTGATGTGGCACCACGAGAGAGCGACATGTGGCGCAGCATGCTTGTCCAGCTGTCGCCAGCCCATGTCGTTGCTTTGTGCACGGGCTGCCACGATCTTCCCCGTCACTATCCCTTGAGCTTGCATGCATGGTACACTGTACCCCTGCTAGGAGATGAACCTGCTAGAAACATCTTGGGCCTTGGCGTATCAATATAAAGCCTTCTGTTGGAAATACCTCAAGGACTTAAAGCGAGTGATCAAAACAGGGCCTCAGATTGCAGGCTTTTTACCCTGATTCAGGGTAAAATCAGGGCTTTTTTTTAGGGTGACCCTGATGAGACAGGATTTTTTTAAGACACAGGCCTGAAATTTCAGCGTATTTCTAGGAGTGAACTTTGATCGATCAGCGTTACTAGTGTAGTGAGCCCTGTTAGTCCAGATTCGTGTAATAGCAGATTCGCAGCCCCCACCCCTCCACCCGTGATTTCCGAGAGTTTCCCCAACCGCCCCTTGTCAATCCCGCGGACTTGAATGCGACTGCCCATTTTTGTTTCCGACGCGGTCGTACTTTCAGAGCCCAATCCTAGCCTTGGTCCCTCTGCGCCTGCTGCCATTGAGAACCCTGCTACCGCATAATACTGGGCATATTGCACAGCGTGCTTTCTGTGTATAATCATGTTTACTCAGCGTGAAAATTTCTAGGGACCCTGATGGATCAGGGAAATTTTTTTGGAGAGGCCTGAAAAATCAGGAGACCAAGGTGGGGGGACCCTGAGCTATCAGGGTGCCTCTACACGAATCTGAGGCCCTGGATCAAAACAGTGAAGGCGGGTCCAACTTGAAAGGGCCCAGACGTCCGTTTTTGCGACAAAGGGACCAAACTGTGACGGGGCAGAGGGTACACTGTCAAGAATTGCGAGCAGGGGAAACTGGGCGAGAATACGCAGTTACCTGATTGGTTGGCGGGGAAAACATGACATACGGTGGGGAAAAAGGCTCAGGAAAAATCGCAAGCAGCGCGCCACCTGTCGCCCAGCCCGCACTGCCTGTAAGCTGCACCAAGAGGGCCCAACTTGAATTTCAAGTTGGACCCAGGTTCACTACTTCGGGAAAACCGAGGATGGGCCCCGATTGGTCGAAATGCTAACTACGCAAAATATGCGGTCGTAAAATCTGTCGCCGGTGCGAAATATCGCAAACGCAATTCGATTTCGTGGCCTACGACTTGGTAAAGAACGCGGGCTACTGCCCTCCCCTCGAAAAACATATTCACTGCTGGATCGGTTCTAGTTGGGCCAAACTAGAAAGAGGGGTCACTATTATAGCTTCTCGCTTTAAGCTTTTCTGAAGTGTAACACTACACTCGAGGAAAGTCGTAACGGGTACGCGAGTCAACGGAGGTTACACGAGGGAAGGACAAAGAACACGAAAGGACTCGAAGGGTCGCAACCGGAGGTTGCGACTGACCGTTACAGCTGCAAGGATGGTAACAGTACCGACAATCGAGTCGCTGTGCGACTCGATAAACTGCTCTTTCAACTGTATTCTACAACTGCTTAACTTTCTTATCTTCTATATATTGCTGTATGCTTATTTCCTTTAATCAATCACTTGTTCTCACATACTAGTGCAAGGGTTCAACTACTCCAACTTCCGCTGCACTACTCAACATCTATTACAACTGGGACTCAGTCTCTGGAAAGATCCTAAGGGCTTTTCTTAGCCCAACATGGTATGAGAGCTGGTCAGAGACCAAACTCCCAACAACTACGCTCTATCTACAATCAGCACACCAACGACTTCATTGATTACAAGTCATGGACAGCAAGGGCAAGAAAACCTCTACGGGCTCACCCAGTGCCCAAGACACTCAACCCGGCAAACCCGGACTGCACACTTCAGGACTGCAAACCGAGACCGGCGCTGCTCAAGAAACAACAGGAAGAGCACCAGAAATGGTGACCCCATCACCCTCTTCAAGCGTGGACCCAAACCTTATGGAAAGGTTCTTCAGCTTCATGTCGCACTTCGACCAGCAGCAGCAGACAAGGACACCTGCGCATTCAACACAGAGCAACGGAGGAAACATGGGATTAGCGCCGATGAGCCTCGACAACTCATCGTTCGGGCGACACAATCAAGCGCCTACCTTTGCGCCCTATCACTCTTCACCGGGGACGTTCGAGTTCATGCCGCCCCGTGCCCAACCAACAGCAGCTGCATCACAACAGACACCAAACGAGATATTAAGTCTCCAAGTGCAGTTTTCACACGTGATCAAAATGCAGACATCCTCACCGTTCAACGGACACGACTTCTTTACCTGGAGCTTTGAGTTCGAGCTGCTGATGGAGGCCACGCACCTCTTGGGATACTTCAACAGGTCCCTGCCATTTCCAAGCAATGGCACTGCAAAAGAGCAATAAATTTTTAGGTATCAGTTGCTGCTGGCGTATACAGTTCTCCTGCGGAACCTGTCACCACAAGAACAGCAAAGCATCAGAACGTATCGGAGCTATGGAAACTCCGCGGAACTCGCATGGCATCACCTCAAGTGTCTCTATCAAGCAAACGACAGCGTGACACAAAGCAGACTCATGCAGCAGCTGACAGCAATACAAATGAAGACCGGGGAAAAGGCGATGCAGTATATGAGTCGCTGCCAGACACTCTGCGACCGCCTGTTTCGGTGCGGAGGAACAATCACTGAAGAAAGCTTCGTGACGCTTGTCCTCGCTAGGCTCGGGCCAGAATGGAGAACCACCCGCTTGCTTCTTCGCACCCACGGACGAATCTCGGAGATGCACCTCTGCGCCGAGCTCCATGCTGAACAACAGGAGATGGACCTATTTGAAGAAAGACAACCAAGGAAATAGCAACCGTTAGTTTTCTACACTCAACGAAGGAACGACAACAACTACAACCGACGCGGCAAGCAAGATCAACGCGACAACAGAGGACTCACCATTGTGCCGCCGTTCTGCCACAACTCTCAAACATCCGGACACTCCAAAGTCAACTGCACACGCCCCCGAGCTTATCGTCCAATAGACCCACAAGTCATTTCCACTCAAGAAAGCCCGCCGAGGCGTTCCTCCACATCTGCACAAGGCACACCGAACATCATCAATTGCATGGTACACATCGACAACTGCGCACCCGGATCACCATCCACTTATGCTCCGGACGAAGAAGAACTATCACCGCCGCGCTCACAAGGACTTCAAGTCAACCCAACGTATGCTGCAGTTGCCAACGCCAAACCCACGGGGAGAAACACTTGGTTCTTGGACAGCTGTTGCGGCCAACATATGTGTTCCTCCGGGCGCTTCGTGCAACGAGAGCGACGTCTCAACCGTGATGTCATCATCACTGTCGCCAACAACGAGAATCTGAAAACAAACAGGCAAGGCGTCGTTCAGCTTCAGTCAATGGAGACGAACATCATACTGCAACTCAACAAAGTTCTAATCGTCGACAACTTGGGATACAACTTACTCAGCATCAGCCAGTTAATGGCAAAAGGGATTCACCTGGAATGCGACTCAGACTCCAACAAATTTCGCCTTTACCACGGGAAGGGCGGCCTTTTCATCGGTCGCGCTCTCCTGAAGTCGGGCGTCTTCGTGTTGGATTTCGTCCCCGACCGCGAACTGCCGACAGCGATGGCATCGTGTCGTTCGCTGCCTGGACGCACCCGCCGGATCTTGACCTCAACTTCAGCCCAGATGGATTCTGGTACTCCAACATCATACCTGCAGCAGAGAGAACACGAGCGTTAGCAGTCATTCGACAAGAAAGACAAGTGCCAGCAAGCGTCCCTTCCCCGACATCACCTGCAGTAGCAGCAGCAGGACCCAGCCGAGTACCATCACCAGCAATCTGAGGACCGCCAACCAAAGCAGATCAACTTATGCCCATCACACGAGAAGTCTGCCGAAGTCCCGCCACGGTTGTCCCGTTCTTCTCCAACGCCGACATGTACCAACGCTCGCCCGGCCATCGCGCTCCCGACGACATCTGGCACCAACGCCTCGGGCATCCTGCAAACAGCGCAGTACTACAAACCATCCAAGCCGAAGTGTTAGAACGAAACGGTCTTCTTACAATGAGCGGCCAAGAAATTCGACGACCACGCGCACGATGCTTCACGTGCCCCGAAGCCGATCTTCCACACCAACCTTTTCCATCACATCACAACCCAAGCGCACCTGCATACGCACCGATGGAAACAGTTTACAGTGACATCTTAAACATGCCTCGATACGACAGTGAAGCCGACTTCAACTATGTCATCACGTTCATCGATGCAGCAACAAGATACGTCTGGCACTACAACTTCAAGACACGCGATCAAGCTTTCGAAGCTTTCACGACGTGGCTCCCCATCGCTGAACGAGAATCAGGAACTAAACTCAAGAGCTTCAAGTCAGATGGCGCACTGGAATACCAGTCACAATGATTCAGGACCTACTTGGCGGAAAGATGAATCAGACGCCTGGTGTCTCTGCCCTACGCTCACCAGCAGCAGGGGGTCGCAGAAAGAATGAACCGGACCTTGCAGACGACGATGCGGAAGCTGCTCCTTGGGATGAGACTGCCCACCACACTGTGGCCAAACGCGATGACACATGCAGTCCACCTGCACAATTTGTTGTCCTCGTCCTTGCTTCCCAACAACGCATCACCGCACCTGCTCTGGACACGAAAAAGGGGCAGCACAAAATTACTTCGGGTTTTCGGCTGCATGGTACAGTACAGACCCCACACAGCCCGAGCAGGACGCTTCACTCAACGAGCACGGTGGGGACTACACCTGGGCATCGCCAAACATTTCCAAGCATGGAAACTCCTCGACATACAAGACAAAAATACCGTGGCATCACGTGATGTGATTTTCTACGAGCGACTGACACTGCAGCATTACCTGGACAACGTCGCCAACACAAACGACCCCACCGACGGCTTCGCGGGCCTTCGCTCCTTCGCCGATCGTGCTGCCGAAGCTGACGCAGCAGAAGAAGACGTACCAGAAGCCTCGGAAATGGCCGGACCACTCCCTTAGTGCTCCGTACCTGTTCACCTCAACGACGACAATCCTCTCGATAGTAACAACCTCAACACCCATTACCACTTCGCTGACCAAGGTTACGTTACACCTCAATCTGTCGACATGAATGTCTCAGAACGCATCGGCCAAATCTTCTTACCAGATCCAGAAGATGGTGACAAAGCAGCCTATTCCGGGAATGACAATTCCCCTCGACACACACCCACGGGCCTGCAAATACTCCGTCCAGCACCCGCCGCCGCCGTCTCCGCGCGAGCCAATGACTCTGTCGCAGGCTCTAGGGGGGGAACACAAGGCAAAATGGAAGGAAGCAATGGAAAAAGGAGTAAAGGCCCTCCAAGACCGAAGCACGTGAAAGCTGGTACCTGCAACAAAAACCAACGGAAAAAACGTGCTCTCGGGAAAATGGGTGTACCGCATCAAGACTAACGCGGACGGCTCCATCGAACGATTCAAGGCTCGCTGGGTCGTACGGGGATTCGATCAGCGATACGGAACCGACTACACAGAGACATTCGCCCCAGTCTCCCGTCACACCTCTTTGCGCATTCTACTCGCCGTCGCGGCCACGAAGAAGCTACCACTACACCAAATCGACGTTGCAAACGCCTTTCTGTACGCACCGGTGGACGCCGAGATCTTCGTCGATCAGCCCCACGGATTCATCGACGACCCCACAAAAGTGTGCCAACTGATAGAAACCCAGTACAAACAAGCTCCGCGGCTTTGGCAGCAGCACCTTCACGGCCGCCTCGTCAGGATCGGCTTCCTACAGCTACCGCACGACCAAGGCATGTACTGACTACAGAAGGAAAGGGGTTTTATCCTACTCATCGTCTACGTCGACGACCTGCTCTACATCAGCTCCACTACCAACATCGCCACCTGGTTCGAAGGGGAGCTAAGAAATGACTTGACACTCACGGCGTCTAACACCGTGACCCTGTACCTGGGTCTGAACATCGTCGAAGACAACTCGGCATTTTACCTGCACGCTGGGAAGTACGCAGGCACTGTCGCGAAGAAATTCGGACTAACGCCGACTACAGTCACGACTCCCTACCGCTACGGGAACTACAACGATACCTCCGCAAAACTCCCCGTAAAACAAATCCAGGAGTATCAGCAGAAGCTCGGCTGTCCACTATTTGCAGCAGTAACTTGCCGACCGGACCTATCTTACAGCGCGAGCCAACTAGCGACGCATCTAAAGCAGCCGGAACAAGAAGATCTCGAGGAACTAAATCGAGCACTACGCTACTTCGTCTGTACGCCGACGACTGGACTTACCTACAGTAAAGCAACGACACCGTCCGTACAACTACTTGGATACGTCGACGCCAACCACGCAGGAGACAGGGAAAATCGACAAGGACATGCTACATCTACCGACTAGCGCCTATCGGGACTATCTCCTAGCAGTCGAGCAAACAGGAACTATTCGCACTATCTTCGGCCGAAGCAGAATATATCGCCCTCTGCACTACGACCAAGGAAGGACTCTACCTGCGAGAGTTGCTCGAGGAAGCAAAGATTGCAACCATGCCCTTCTTCTCACTCTTCTGCGACAACCAATCCGCGATCAAAATCGCGAACAAATACGGTTTCGCCAACCGAACCAAGCGCATCGCCCTGCGGTATTTCTTCGTCAAGGACGAAATCGCGAAGGGGAGAATTCAACTCAGTTACTGCCCCACGACAGAGATGGCTGCAGACTACCTGACGAAGAAACTGGCAAAAGCAAAGTTTGATTACTGCATGCTACTGACCGGGCAGATAAACGTCGCCGAATCTGGACACGTCAGCACTCTAGAAACGAAGGGGAGTGTTGGAAATACCTCAAGGACTTAAGCGTTTATGAAGTGTAACACTACACTCGAGGAAAGTCGTAACGGGTACGCGAGTCAACGGAGGTTACACGAGGGGATGGACAAAGAACACGAAAGGACTCGAAGGGTCGCAACCGGAGGTTGTGACTGACCGTTACAGCTGCAAGGATGGTAACAGAACCGACAATCGAGTCGCTGTGCGACTCGATAAACCGCTCTTTCAACTGTATTCTACAACTGCTTTACTTTCTTATCTTCAATATATTGCTGTATGCTTATTTCCTTTAATCAATCATTTATTCTCACATACTAGTGCAAGGGTTCAACTGCTCCAACTTCCGCTGCACTACTCAAGCATCTCTTACAACTGGGACTCAGTCTTTGGAAAGATCCTAAGGGCTTTTCTCAGCCCAACACCTTCTATGTGTTTCGGAAGTCAGCTTTTGATGGGCGTTGCCTACATTAGCAATGATTCGGAGTCTGCTCCAAGCATGAATTAAACAATTCTAGTGGCACAGCCACATGAGAGGTCCCGTGACTTAGGTCTGTTTTTCTCTCCCTCACTGTGAAGAGGTAATGCTCACTGCCAAGCCAACGCTAATGCTCAATGCTCGTGGAAAATGTATTGATATGAGACGGACACGAACCAAATCCTTCACTGTATGCACGGATGCCTTCTATCGAAGAGACCCGGGCGCCTTATTTCTTTGTGTCATCTGCGATTTTCCTCCAGATCTAGGGTCGAATTGGTGTCATCCGAACCTAGCCTGGGGTCTTCCACGGGCAAATGTCGTAAGACACCCGCGGACGACACGAAGCAAGATTTGCCCGCCTTGGTCGCGGGCCACCCCCCAGTGGCTCTCCTCCTCCCCCCCGAGTCCTGACGCGACGTTGACATTCCTGAGGGTCCCAGTGTCGAGCTCCACAGCAGGCCTCTCAAGGGGTGTGTAAAGCTTGGGAACAGAGCGGAGCCTCCGTTCCCACTTTACATACCGCCTAAGCCCTAGGGGATTCCGTTAGGGGACGGAATCGACCCGGAATTACCCGTTAACGGACGGAATCTACAGGATACTATACGGATTCGCTGACGAGCTACCCTTCTTGTTATACTGTACTACCTTCCTCACAGACTGAGACCCTTCGCCACAGCTCAGAAAGAGCCGAGGTTAAACATCGAGGGTGTGAGATGTTTCTCGCTCCTGCTATGCCCCAGGAGGTCGGGAGAGTGGAAGTCTCCCTGCTTGTCTGCATACAAAACAGCAGGTAGGAAAGATGGTGCACTCTTGGCGTGGAAGTGGCGAGAGCAGTAAAGGGAAGGGGGTATTAAATACAGTAAGAACGGAATCACGAGAAAGTAACCCATCATGTGAAGGAATCGCATGGAATTCAGTCCGTTGTGTGGACGGAATCACGAGATTTTAACTAGTAGAAAAAACGGAATCCAGCGAAAAACAACTCATAATTTCTCGACATTAAGAGTAATTATTCTTTTAGCGAGAGGCCTGCTCCACAGCGGGACTGGTCTACCTGCCATTGGGCTTGACTACTGTCGTTTTCGTCTTGTGCAAACACAACCTTCTCGACAAAGTGGGCTGGTGCCTGCACAGTGCCCAGTCCCGCCAAACCAAACCCTTGCCCATGGCATCCCCTCTGTAGGCGCGGGCGGGGTCTTGTGGACAGAGTACTGTATGCCTTTCGGTGTCGCCTGAATACAGTACCAGACATCTACCTGTTGTCTGCCCTCAGCTTCTAAATGGCGATTGAGTCACTCACATAACAGCTTACGTACCTTTCATTATGTGCAGCGTCTTCCAGACGCAAATACGAGGGGTTTGGAAACAATTAGAGGCGCCAAAAAATGTTCAAGGAAACTGTTTCGTAAGGGTTGCTTGCTGGTGAAGAGGCTGATCCACCTTCGTGAGATTTTCCACCAATCTCCGCTTGGATTCCCCGCCCCCGGGGCGCGCTATTGGTCGCGAGCACCCCCGCTGCAAGGCAGCTTCCTCTCGCGCTTCTCCCCATCGCTCCGCCCCTCTCCCTCCTCCCTCCCTTCCCAAACCCGCACACCCCGCCCATTGCCCCAGCTTTCCCCCTCCCCTCCGCTCCGCACAGCTCTGGGTCCTCCCCCCACCTTTGCATCTGGTCTGGTCTCCTCCGCCCATCTCGCCCTTCCTGTGGTGTCGCCCCCGAATCTCATCCCCCCACACCCCCCCCCCCCCCTCATCCCCACCCGCGCCCATGATCCACCTCTCCTCCCTCCATCCATTCCCCGCGCGCCTCTTCACTGGACTGGGCCGGGTCTGCTGGACTAGTCTTCCATTTTCTGTCATCTTGCCACCATTCCTCACTGGTGGGCCTCATTCTGGTCTGCGCTGATCATTTATCCTCTTCCATGAGTTCGACAGCCTTGGTGGTACTGTACGACCACCGCTAGATTTCTGCTCCACCGAATCCCACAACCCCCGCTCCCACAGCAGCCACGTCCTCGCAACCTTGCAGTATTTGCTTATCCGAGTGCTTCTTTGCGACGAATCGGCTCCAGAGGCACCTTACACGGGCGTGTACCCAGTAGGTTACATACCACGACAAGACGTCACGGTGTGGAGTGGAGCCACTGCATCCGAAAACGCTCTGTGCCGCGCTAGGACGTCGAGTGCCGTCGTTTTGTGTGCACATGCTACACACCCCAAGCGACCATTGCTGCGAGTTGTAGTTCTAGTAACACGCGAACGGCAGCTGCTCACTTAGGTCGTCTATACTTAGCTGCTAACCAGGTGCGGAGGAGGATGGAGTTGGGACCTTGAAGCGAGCGTGAGGGAAGGCTGGGACTCGATGGCGACATGAGCGAGCGACCGGGAACGATCGGCGACGATTGCTGACGTCGGAGCTCATGATGACGACGATGACGACTGGCGGTGCCATGACGCACGATGGAGCCGGCGGTACGGCGGCGAATGGTGCTAGAGCGAGCGGCGGTGACGCAGCAGCCGCGGTTTTCGACGCGAAGCGAGGCGTGAAGTCAGAGCCCGGCACGACGACGGCAGCGATCGCCGCAGGAAGAGAGAGCAACGGACGACCCGCCGATGCCAACGGCTCGGCGGACGAGGGCGCGGCGGCGGAGAGGCGGGCGGAGGAAAGCGGCGCACTGGAGGGGAGCCCGGCGGAGAGCGGCGGGGCAAAGCGGGTGGCGGAGCGCGGAGCGAGCGGAAGGCGGCAGCGCAAGCGGTGCAAGCTGGTGCTGTTCGAGAGCCGGCTGCCACGCGACGGGTTCGTGTGGCTCAAATACGGACAGAAGGAGCTGTCGGGCGGCACCATGACCAGGTGCGTCGCACGTCGCGAAATACCGTCGCACGTCGCGCGTACCCACTGTCGCATGTCGCGTGTTTCGTTTATTTCGCCGTTCTTAAGTGTTTTCCGTCCCGCAGTCGCCGTTTTCGCTCAATCCTGTAGGTCTTGTCCCACTGCCCTCTGCCGTCGTCGCTTCGTGCCCATACGGCGACTCGCGGGAGGCATTTTGATTTCCACCGCGACCTGCACGCGTGTGCACCGGCAGACGTTGCTTCGTGGCTGGCTGCAAGCGGCGGTGGCTTAATTGTGACCCGTCGCGACTCGCCGCTCCCTCCTCATTTCCTCACCTTCCCGCCGCTCCCTCGGCGCCTTCCCTCCTCCCCCCCTCCCTGCCCGCCAGGCACTACTTCAAGTGCAACGCGGCGGACTCGCCGCTGCAGTGCCAGGCGAAGCGCATCGTGGACTATAACAAGGTTGATCCGAAACACCACATCCGCGTTACAACCACCGGCCACCACAACCACGAGGCAGCCGGCGCGCCTCTGGGCCTGAGCGTGGGAAGAGAAGGGGAGGGGATGGAGGGGGGGGGCGAGGGCGAGGAGGGGGAGGAAGAGGAGGAGGAGAGGCGGAGGGGCGAGGAGAGGGAGTGGATGGCGGACGACGACGACTACCAGGAGCAGCAGCAGGAGCAGCGGTGGCAGCAGCAGCGGTCACCGCTGCTGCATCAGCTGTCCGCGCCCGTGGGGCTCTTCGCCTCCGCCTCGCTCGTCCCCACCCACGCCGCGCACCCTGCGCCCGCACACCCTCTCGCGCGCGCCAATTCGCGCACTCACTCCGACCCCTCCGCGCGCGCGCTCTCCCCCACGCACCTGCAGCTGCAACCTCTAGCGCCGCTGCCGTCCCAAGCGCTAGCACCGGACGAGCCCGCCCGGGCCCTGCCGCCATTGCACTCGCAGAACCTGTCCCCGCTACAAGATGTATCCTCGTTACAACGACACGACCTGTCCTCGCTACAGCGGCAATCCTCGTTACAGCGACAAGACCTCTCCTCGTTACACCGGCTATCCTCCTTACAGCATCAAGACATATCCTTGCTGCAACCACAAGGCATGTCCCCGTTACAGCGGCAGTCCTCGTTACAGCCCGACTCACTACTTCCACCCATAGGTTGCGCGAGAGGCCGGGTGCGGACGGGGAGTGCGTTGGGCGCAGGGGCATGGCAGCAGGGGGCGCAGCAGGGGGCGCAGCAGGGGGCGCAGCAGGGGGGCAGCAAGGGGGGCAGCAAGGGGGGCAGCAGGCAGAGCAGCAGGGGAGACAGGGGGTCCAGCAGGGGGGGCAGGAGCCGAGGTGTGTGGGCGGAGGAGCGGAGGGCGCGGAAAGGTACATGCTGGGCGGTCCGGCAGCTGTGGCAGCAACGGCGTTGGGAGCAGGCAGAGAGGGAGGAGGGCTTCGAGAGGCGTTGCCGCGGCACGCAGGGGACGCAGGGGAGGCAGGGGAGGGGGCACGACCGCCAGCAGCGGCGGCAGCAGCAGCAGTCGGAGGAGGAGGATCAGTCGTGCGGCCGTTGGCGCGCACAGCGTCTGCACCGGTGGGGGGGGCTGGCGCGGGGGGAGGGATCGGGGCAGTGGGAGGCGCAGCACGAGGCGGGCAGAGGCAGGCGCTCGGCGCGGACTGCTCCATGCCGCTGCTGCAGCAGTGGCTGCAACACCGCGCCCTGCAGTCCAACGGGCAGCAGCAGCCCTCTCCGCTGCAGCAGCCACCTCTGCCGCCGCCGCAGCAGCAGCAGCAGCAGCAGCAAGCACAAGAAGCGCTAGGCTGGTCGTCTGCAGCAGGTGTGAGAGGCAGTGAAGCACGGCCCGTGGGAATGGAGAGGAGGCATGAGGAGGAGAGAGCGAGAGCCGTAGCGGCAGGCGCAGCACAGCCGCCGCAGCAGGCACGGCTGGTGCGGCAGGCGCAGCTGCCCGAGCACGCACAGCAGCTAGCAGCACGGCACGCACAGGTGTGCGAGGTACCACCGCAAGCACAGGCGATGCGGCAGCCACACCAGTGGCCGCCGTTACAAGAAGCACTTATGGCGATTCCAGCACCAGCAGCAGCAGCAGCAGCAGCAGCAGCCCAGACGGAATCAACGGCTGAAGGCATGATCCCTTTCCACGCTGCAGCCCCCCCTGCTGCTGCTCCTGCTGCTGCTGCTGCTGCTACTGCACCATCCGACTCCGCAGTGGCGGCACATGCGGCAGCAGCAGTACCCCGCTCCCCTGCGCCATCCCCCGCCGCAGCACCGTCCCCCGCTGCAATGGTGGCGCACGCAGCCGTGGCGGCGCGCGTGGAGGCGCTGCGGCGGCAGCAGGAGGAGGCGTCGCGGCGCGAGGCGGAGGCGGCGGCGGAGCTGCGGGCGCTGGAGGAGCAGCGGGAGGCCGCCAAAGAGGCGCGCGCGCGCGCTGCTGCCGCGCAGGCGGAGGCGGAGGCGAAGCTGGTCGCACTGAGGCGCGAACTGCTGGCGGAGAGAGACCTCCGACAAGGGGGGACGGGGGGTGGGGCGATTGGGGCAGGT